ACGTGCTGAAAAGCACAAAATGGCGTCTTACGTCGAACTCGGGGGTTTTCCGCTTCCAAGTCGGCGAATACCCTGTCAAATAGAAGTGGGAAGGTGAAGAAGTCCAAATTTTGACTACAAATACGCTTAGCAGGGTGCGTGCCAGAGTATGGCCCTTCCTGCCATAGCAGTTCGTTTGTCACTAACTCCTTCGAAGCCTTCACCACTCCGGACGTGATCTCGGCAGGATCTTTGACTTGTGCCGGTGGAGTAGAGTCGGTTCCTTGGCGAGGCGTGATCTTCCATCTAAGTGACCCACTGTTTCTGTTTGTCATTCATCACCCGCGGTTTGGAGGGTCCTGCAGGTGGTACTGGCTGGCGGTCATCTGCCCAATTCGCGGGCATCAGTGCTTCCAGGTATTTGCGGTAATTAAAGGCAGACATTCGTCTGGCATTCCTAGGCATCGCCGGTTTTCTAGGCGGAAGTTGCTTGGCTGTCCAACCACCTTGTTGATTCATTTCTCGAGGAAGAATGTAAATATTCAACGCAACAAAAACGACGAAGAGTTAAAAAATATATTAAAGGATCCAGGCAGCTTGTTATTGCGCAAGAAGACAATGAGGAGGAGAAGAGGAAGAGTCGGAGCAGAAGAGACGGAGACACATAGACACGACCGATCGAACGATTCAAACCTGTAAGGGAGGTGTTTCGTGACATCTCCACGAAATATAATATATTAGGATTTATTTTTATTTTACATTTTTACAAATTCCAGATGGCTAGCAATTTGTACCAGGGACAGTACCCAAACTACAAATTGCCAGCATGCTTATTGCACGCAAATCAACAAGACCGTTTTTGAGAGTCAGTTTATTACTTAATACGGCAGTTTGTATATTTTAGATTTTTTGAAGTTTCCGAAAGATCTCCAAATTGACCGTGATGGCCGTCATTCCCGTCAAGTAATCGGCACTCATACCCAGTGGAAACTCCATCAAATATTGTTTAACATTTACAGTTACGTCTTTCACCTCTGATACTTCCTACTTCTTACAAATCGCGTTTCAGACGCAGGAAGTAGGGATAGGTCAGTGATGCCTAAATTCGATTGGTTTAGGAAAATGACTGATCAGGCGAAGAGGCGGAAGTACAAACTTTTCGTGTACGCAAACAGAAAAGTTGTTAGTTAGTTATACCAAAAAACTCAGAAAAGAAACATTATAATCTCTTCCAACCAGGAAACATTATAATCCCGCGTTCTTGTTTCAAAGTTCATACAGTTTCATTTTCACTAGTAATTAAATCGTTATTTTTTATGATTAAAACTCTTGTATTTTTTTTTATTTACTTCGACTTCAAACCTCAGTATTACCTACCTCCGTAACAAGTCGTAGGAATTTACGAAAAAACAGTAACCGAGCCAAAAGATTTCTTAATTTCGAAGTATGCTCCTTAAGCGAAACCGCATAGATGATAATATCATCTATATGAACTAAAAGTTCTATACCTTGAAGTCCAGATAATATTACGTCCATAACTCTCTAAAAGGTTGCGGAAGCATTTTTTAAGCTAAATGGCATACGATTAAATTCGTAATGGCTATGAGGAATGGAGAAGGCCGTTTTGGGTTTGGATGTGATGTCCATGGGAATTTGGTGAAAACCTGAGGCGAGATCTAACTGAAATATTACTTACTGAAATATTACATCTGCCACAGTTTTTTCGTTTAACTTCCTGCAATTAATAACCATTCTCCACCGTGGTTTTCCGGATGAATTAGATTTTTTGGCACCATTCAGAGTGGAGAATTGTAAGAAGAAACTAATGGTTCAATTATATCGTCGCGGAGAAGAAAATTACTTACTTCATTATTTCATCCTTAAAAACCGGAGAAAATTTAACCTGTTTTGTATGGGTATATTGTCAGCAGTATTAATTGTATATTAATTTAGCTTTAGCTGCTAGGACTTTAGCTGCTTCCAATTTATCTATAGGGAGATGAAATTGATATAGAAATTCATAATGTTAAGTACATAATGTTAAGGACCCACATCCAAACTACTTAGATTGCGCATTAAATTGAATGAATATGATTATAGTATCGTATACAAACCTGGGAGAGTGAATGCCAAGCTCACGCACTTTCGCAAAATTCTGTCAACCCTGATAAAAATCCTATTCTTCATCCACAACCTGTACTGCCTACTCTAAACGTCAATCCTGGCCATGGGTATCTGAAGAAAGTAGTCATCTCCATAGCTGATACACCTGCTGCGGATCTTGAGACAGACGAAAGGGATGAGACAATGACTTTTGAAAACGAAATAATGATAGCTTTTGTGTTCCTGACGCGCGGGATAGCAGAAGTCAAATCCAGTGAGATCATTCAAGGATTTTCCCGCTCGAATACCTACGTGTCCGAGGTGCAATCAGTGCCGCCGCAAAGGGTGAATGACCCTGAAGTATGTGAGATTCCACCGTCGCACCGAACAGGAGTGTTGGGTAAGTATGCGATGCCGGCGTCACCCCCTCCTGCG